TGTTGGTGTCCCGGTCATGTTTTGATGGTGTCCCGGTCATGTGATGGTGTCCCGGTCATGTTGTGATGGTGTCCCGGTCATGTTTTGATGGTGTCCCGGTCGTGTTGTGACGGTGTCCCGGTCATGTTTTGATGGTGTCCCGATCATGTGATGGTGGCCCAGTCATGTTGTGATGGTGTCCCGATCATGTTTTGATTGTGTCCCAGTCATGTTGTGATGGTGTCCCGGTCCTGTTTTGATGGTGTCCCGATCATGTTTTGATGGTGTCCCGGTCATGTTGTGATGGTGTCCCGGTCATGTTTTGATGGTGTCCCGGTCGTGTTGTGATGGTGTCCTGGTCATGTTTTGATGGTGTCCCGTTCCTGTTGTGATGGTGTCCTGGTCATGTTTTGGTGGTGCGCGGTTATGTTTTGGTGTCCGGGTCATGTGACGGTGTCCCGGTCATGTTGTGATGGTGTCCTGGTCATCTTGTGATGGTTTTCCCGTCATGTCATGTTGGTGTCCCGGTCACCTTGTGATGGTGTCCCGGTCATGTTGTGATTGTGTCCCAGTCATGTTGTGACGGTGTCCGAGTCATGTTGTGATGGTGTCTCGCTCATGTTGTGACGGTGTCCCGCTCATGGTTTGATGGTGTCCCGGTCATGTTGTGATGTCCTGGTCATGTTTTGGCGGTGTGCCGGTTATGTTTTGATGGTGTCCGGGTCATGTGACGGTGTCCCGGTCATGTTTTGATCGTGTCCCGGTCATGTTGTGATGGTGTCCCGGTCATGTTTCACGTGATTGTGTCCCGGTCATGTTGTGATTGTGTCCCGGTCATGTTGTGATGGTGTCCCGGTCATGTTTTGATGGTGTCCCGGTCGTGTTGTGACGGTGTCGATGGTGGCGCGGTCATGTTTTGATGGTGTCCCGGTGATGTTTTGATGGTGTCCCGGTCGTGTTGTGACGGTGTCCCGGTCATGTTTTGATGGTGTCCCGATCATGTGATGGTGGCGCGGTCATGTTGTGATGGTGTCCCGATCATGTTTTGATTGTGTCCCAGTGGTTTTGGTGATATGATCCCAAGAATGTCTGAAATGTATGTCTTCGATTGACATGACCTGTTGCTATTGGATGACGTAGATGTGCTCACGCCTTCTTTCTGATTGAGGCGTCTTGCTGATTTCAGACGCGTAGATAGACCGTGAGCGCACATCGTTGGTTTTGGTGATATGATCCCAAGCATGCTTGACATGTATGTCTTCGATTGGCATGACCTGTTACTGTTGGATGATGTAGATGTGCTCACGCCTTCTTTCTGATTGATGCGACTTGCAGATTTCAGACGCGTGTATGGAAGGCGCCACGGCCATCGCTACAGAATGAAGAGATGAAGCTTTGGAAACTTTGGAATCTATGTATAATTTTGCTTCTGTCTGATTGATGCGACTTGCCGATTTCAGACACGCTTTTTTCAACAGCGTGATGGCCGTCACTAGATGACGATGGGATAAGTGCGTGTTGAAAGAAAAACATGCTTTCACCTGCAGATAATTTTCATGGTTTGTACACCTGGTGTCTTTCGGTGCATTTGGGATCTTGTCTTCTCTAGTCGCCTCCGAGGTCGTTGCCTGCGCTCGTTCACGGGAGCTCAAAGCTACGTAGAGTCAACCGTATGAGTCAACCATATGAATCGGTATGACCAGTACGCATCTTCCTGCTCAGGACACTTGGACCAGTTCGTCTCCGACGACCGACTCTCTGACGAGATACACACAAACGGATACACACAGATACACACTGATGAACAGACACATACACACAAACTCACACCTTACAAACACCTACATGCACGCAAGCGTCATACAGCATACATCCACCCACACACTCATACACACTCACGGACAAGCGCATACAATCAAACACACACCTCACCTACACACACCGACCCTTACGCATTCTATTTGTCTCGCCTGTCTCTTCCCCATGCTCACTCTTCAGCGCCTTATGTCTGCAGCTTCAATCTTTCGAAGTTGTTCCCATGTGGGGTTATCCGGTCCTATAATTTTCCGTCCTCTTTTCTTCTCAATCTCTACTTCTCGTTGCTAGTTCTTACAAGCTTAACATGTGGGGTTTTCCGGTCCTTCTATTCTGCTGGTGGTTTGGAATTCCTATCTTCGAGCGATCCATCGCAATGTTTCGTTCAATCTGTGTTGGGGAATTTGAGACGGATGCATTTGTGTTTGAGCAACGCTCCTGCGCATACATGTGGTATCCATTTTAGACTCCTGTCACATTTCTTGTCGCAGACTGGAAAAACGCAGCGCGCTGGCCAGCTTTGCAGCAGATGCCGCAGATACAGATTACTTTGCTACGGATTGTGAATTTTGCTTTCTTTGTTTGCACTTTTGTGGCTCGAAGCTTGGTCTGTGGATGTATATAGTAGACAGACTGCAACTTCTTCCTGTTTTGGGTCGAGCTGCGATGAATGTATGTGTGGGCGCGCAGGAAAATCATTATTTTCATGTTGGCAAGAAAGCACGGAAGCAACTTCAGAGCAAGCCGGAGGAGGAGCGTGAGCATTATTTATTTCTGTATGCTGCTCAAGGGGATTGTGTGTGCTGCTGTAAATTTTGGTTGGCGAATGGAGCATCCCTTTCTCGAGGCAGCAGAAATCATCCACAGTGGAATGCACTGGCTTGGGCAGAACATGCGCAAGCCCAAAGGCGGCATGGAACGAAATTTGAAAAGATGTTAGATTATACGCGGTTGATTGTCTGTTTTGTTGTTGATTTTGTTTTGTGGTTTTGTTTGCTATTATTAGCCATGCGACCAAGGACGACGAGACTTTTGAAGGGGCTTGAAGAAGAAGAAAGAGAAGAAGAAGAGGAGGATGAAACACCCAAAGGTATACGGAAGGATCAGAATTCTGACGTGGATCTCGATGGGGCCAATGAGTCCGAAGCGAAATGTCCTTTGGTAGACTTTTGCGCACATGAAGATAAGGCAGAGATGCTTTATGCGGCAGCCACAGTCACAGGCAATGTCGAGGCACTGCAATGCAATTATTGTGAGAAAAGATGGTCTGCTTTCGCTTGACTTCTAATACGGTGTTATTGAGCATGATCTTCCGGTTTCGGTGGTAATCTGTCCTGCAAAAAAGCTCGTGTATATGACAATACAAACGCATCATATATTATTTGCCTACAGCGTTCGACTGCCGAAGATACACGTCTCAAGCGTGTCAGATTTGTTTGGCCCTCTTGCTGACTGTCTTCCTGTTTTGGGTGGCGGTCAGAAGTATTCTCACTGACTTTCTTTTGTGTGCTTTGTCTCTGCGATCGCTTTTTGAAGCAAAAGGAGGTCTGGCAGCATTATTGCCAACGACGCATCCAATCTATATGCGATCTGTTTGCATATTTTGTTTAGCTGGTCCATGCCGCGACAAGTCGATGCTGCACCATTGTCTCTCTTGGACCCTGTTTCCCTCTCCAACCATTCTACAGAGAACGCGGTTTTGTTACAGCAGGATCAAAACGAACTTCATCTACAAAAGGACATGCGAGATGTCACGACGTGCTGGCCACATAACTTGTCTTGCGCAGAAAAACAGATTGACCGAACACGACCTTCACGGACATCTCTTTGTGCTACATAACATAATACAGACTTGTGAAAACTATAGACGTGGGGTTATCTGGTCCTTTATATATTTCATTTAGCTTTTTGTTTGCGCTACTGACCCAGGCAACTTTCTTCTCTGCTTTTTGGTTTTGCTTTTGTGTTGTTCTTATTCTAAATATTTCTTATCGTTATAAGTGGCGGGCATAAAGCTAAAGGAGCATCAAGAACTCCCATGCGCACGGTTGGTGTCGCAGGCACCCAATGGACAGCACTACTTTTATGACTACGTCAGCAACACTTGGTCCTGGGAAGAACCTCAGTCACGAGCCACTCGAATAGCGAAGATGACGGTGGGGTTTGACGTTGCCAACGTGCTATTCAACAAGCATCAACATCAAACGTGGCCCTGTGGAGGATATTTTTCCTTTATGGGCTGTTTAGCACCTCCATGTTTGTCTCGTAACTTCAAGGAATTCATCTTTTTGCGTCCCCAGGGTATTGGACAGGTTTGCCGCTGTCTCGGTTTGGAAACAAGGACGCCTGCGGGCAGCAGAGAATGGACTGTGTAGGAAAAGGAAGGGACCCGCAAGTTCAAGCAGGTGGGGATGGATGGATCGTGGGGACACGCACACACACGGTTGCGTGAAAGGTCAGCTTCCAGAAATGACGAAGAACTCCAACCCTTTGACAATTCTCCCTGCCCGCCCCTTCCCCACCCAAAACTTCAAAACTTCAACATCGGAGAATATATTCCTCAAACAGGTTTACCTGTGACATCCTGTGACTCCTTTTGAAAGAGTGCTACCTTGCTGGTCGTACGGGATTTGTCCCCATTTATTTCCAGTGGCGCTAGTTTTTGGTTGGGGCGTCAAAAGGAGTCGCTCAAGATTCACGTGTAGTCTAGCTTGCGCACGGATGATAATTGCAAACCATTCCAAAATTCAAATGTGGGGTCTTCGATTCCTTGAGCAGCTCTTGATGCACATAGCTACTTGATTGGAAGTTAATTTTGGAATGCAACGTGAATCTTACTGTAAAGTGGCTTTCCTGGGCAACCGTTCAATTACCAAAAGGCTAGATGATCACCTCCGTTAATGAGACATGACGCTCTTTCTCAAGTCGAAGGAACAGCTTTTAAAGGCTTTTGCGGTGTCTCCGGCGTCTTCGGCTGTCTCTCACTGTAATTTCTTGGGTCGTGGCAGCTCAGATCCCAGATCCTAGGTACTCCATCAGGACGCGTTGCGCAGCCAGCGACAGAGTGCTGGGGCGAAGACAACCAGCCTCGGCGTGGACATGGACAAATTGCGGAGCTGCTTGTTTGAACCAGATGGCATTGGCTGCGAAGGGCACTGAAACTTGACCCTTGACCTTCAGCTTCGTAACTCGAAGTCCGCTCGGCCGATGGACTTCGATTGGTGCGCCTATCTGTGAACATTGGGTGCTTGACTAGAATCAAGCATGGTTCAAATGTCCAGAGTTTGGGACTAATTGCCATTGAGTCAATTGAGTCGAAGAAGTCAACAAAACACAGATCTCCGATTCTGTTGAACGAGGAGTAGTTGAGCAGAGAGAGTATCAAAGACAGATGATGAAAGAGACACCTAGGAATCCCAGAATCGATATCGAGCGTTTGGTGATCCTTAAGTTCTCATGATTCTTCAATCAGCTTTTCCCTCCCAGTTTTCTTCAAAAACAAGTCTCCACTGGTAAGGTTGGTCTCCAAAACCCTGCTGTTGTTTGGCAATACTTTTTAACAGTCGACAGACCACTACTGTAGTAGGGAAGACACCTTGTTGACATTCCAAAACATGAATTGACCATTAGCATTTGCATCAATAACCAAACTGCTATTCGACCATGACCGTCTGGTCGGCTTCCATCCACCTGCGCTGGTTCGACTGAGGTCGACTGGAACTGATCCTCGCTCGCCGTGAGCCACGACACGAAACTCGTCACGGAAAGGGACGACTCGTCACGGTCTCGTCACTCGTCGTCGTGTTGAGACAGCGTCGGTGTCAGTTCACGAAGCGCTTGCAGCTAGATCTCAGAAGCATGTTGGACCATGGACCCTTGCAATCTGTTGGACACGTTCGGTTGGCAAAAAATCTGAATGAGCTTCCTGAACGGCATGTTCCCTGAGCAGCGGGCATGTAGACAATTGCCTCACTACCTCCCATTGCAGATGCCTTTTTCGTCAAGGATCCAGCTCTGGTAGACCGAACCCTGAGAACTGTGCCCAATAGAAAGCCCAAGACTGGTTCCCCGCAAGCAAACCTTTAAGACAACTTGAAGCATCTGTTTTTCTGTGGATGAGATTGTTCACATTCAGGTCACTGACAATAAATAGTTGGTCACCAAGAGAAGCGACACTGGTTGGGAAAAGCTCACTCAGTTGGATCAGAACATTTCAAGCCAGTCAATGAGGCCTTAAGTTATGTTTGATGAGCGGGACCGATTAACCCTCACACCTGATTTTGGTGATGATTAACACACAGGTCAATAAAAAGCTCTTTAATGCTTGACTGGCTTCAGAACACAGGATAAACAGCTACGTTTTCTCCATCTAGTTACACTCGCAAGAAACAAGATACAGGAACCCTACCCTTAAGAAACATGACCCACAGAGAATCCGCGCCAGCACAGGCTAGTTCCAGTCCAGGAGTCACCTCTGGCGCCTACGCTCCCTTTGTCCCTTGGTTTGGCAGCCATCCCCTCTGACCATCGCCAGTTGATCCACAACAAGGGGACGATGAACGATGAACCATCTTGGGCAGCCAGGGTAGATGACCATGAGTTAGATATGGAAAGAACCCTTATTTAGTGGATGCTTGTTTTTTTCTTTTCCGATCTCGATTTCGGAGTATATATAAATGGGAGGTAATCTTCAAAGTCCCCTGAGTTTGACGCTAGGATACGACTCCGATCATGTACTTGAAGACATCATGGTCGCAGTTCTCAAAGTTCATTGGTCGAAGGGGCGATTCGTGGTGGATGGGTCGTCCAACTCCCCTCAGCTCTGAGCCCAAACTCACCGCGTCCGCCTTCAGCGTCAGCTGCAGACATGTCCTGGTACTTCGGACACCGCGCACAAAGGTAACATTAGATTCCCAGGTACAGAAACATCATGAAACATCCACTCCAGCTACCCCAGATATAGAAACATCATTCCCAGACCATTGCATCTGCCCCCAGGTATAGAAGCAGGTCCTTTCCCGCTCACCAGGTGCCCAGTGCGGCGTCGAACGGGCCGGTGCCGGCGCCTGCGGCAGCGCCGGTGCCGGCGCCTGCGGCGGCGGTGCATGCTCAGGCGGCACCTGCTCCGGTGCTTGCTCCGAGAGAACCAGTGCCTAGGCCGTATGAGAATGATCGCCCTTTCCTCCAATAAACCCTCGCAGAGGTCTCTCTCCAAGGGGGTCATTCATCAGGTCATTCATCAATGATCTTCACGGGAAGAAATGACCGGGGCACTGGAAAAGCTCAGGGAAGTGGTGATTTCGATGATTTCGCCTTAGCAGCCGACATTTCAACACCTCCAACATCTCCCTTTGCTTCATTTTGCTTCACCATCTTCTTTTGTCTGGTGTGTATTGGTAGCTGTGCACAGCTCCTCCGAAGACAGACAGGCTGCCTCCTTTGCATTCTGCAGCCTCATAACACACCCGCGGCCCACACACACTTCTGCACAATCATGTTAATACAGTGGGTGCCATCCTGTTTGCCAAACTGCCGCAGATGCCATCCACCAGACTGTTGACTGAGGCACTCTTTCCAAAGGATTGGACTGGCGATCCCGAATTGGATCTGAACAGAGAAGGAAAGGGCTATCGGAATCGCTTCACGAAGTTCTACTACCAGGAGAACGGGTGAAGACGGCGGGGCCCCTATGTTCGGCATCCGATGTTCGTCTTCCAAAACATGCGCCAGGTTCAATGGCGTTGGAAGAATGTGTTCTGTGTGACGGGACCGAGGCTTTGGAGATGGGACTGAGGCCAAAGGTCGCTATTAACGCAAAAAGACGAGAGGGTGACCAATCAGCTTGTATTTTCCAACATACCTGGTAGGCTATTCTCATTCCTACGGGGTTTGGCCTATAGAAATTATTAGATGTAACCCACCAGTCTGATTGGGATGAAACACCGCATAATTGACGTTCAAAATGCATGTAAATAGCGATCAAGAAGCATGGTACAAGCTACCTTCAGCTACCCAGGTAAATTCCCACCTTACCTTAGCCTAGTTTGCCTTGCACAACACATGTCGCACTTCAAATGCGATCATTGGTTCAACGGCCGCCCAACTCTGCCATCGGCCTGCCTGAAAATGACTTCCGCAGGACGAGGAGCAAGCGTGGCAGGGCCTGGAGGAAACTCAGGACTTCTACCAGAGCTTGGAGCGTTGCCGAGTACGCCCGGGCGAGAACCACCCCGAACATCAGGACTCCTTCTGGCGTGTCGGCACGCAACTTGGTGGAAGATAAAACGGTCGAACTTGTCAGGGAGCAGCTTTTGGATGGCGTGATGTTTTCCCGATCTTCAACTTCAATGCAGCTTCATCAATTGAGCAACGATGCTCTTATAGATTACTGTAGATGGCCTTTTGCTATTGATTGGTTGATTGGTAGAAGGGAGACCCCCAAGTGAACAAGCAATAGGTATATGGTCCATTATGGTCCCAAATTGACCCCTCCATTCTTTCCAAAAGGACGTCATTGGCCAGCTACCACAGTTATGCTTTCCAGTTAGCGAACATGCCACCGATACAAAAACTAGTTGACCACTGTGGGTGAAAACCTTGTCTGGGATATCTTGGGTTATTTGTGGGTATCTTCAGCGATTGGCACAATCTGGCTTCCCATGATTTAAGGGTTGAGTATGGCTGAGTATTTCTTCAATACTGGTGGAACATGAGCTCGATCGATCGATAGAAGTCTTCGCCAGCAGCGTCAGGCCTAGGTTAGGTGGAGGCCATCGCCATTAGTAACAAGAAACTACTAGTAGCTCCTAGCATTGCTACTAGGAACAAGAAGCTTCTAGTAACAAGGTGCTTCGCTCCTAGTAGCTTCTTGCTACTAGTAGTCCTCACAAATTAGACAAATATTTGATTTCTTCAATCGATGGGTAAGTTGGACTTGTCACTCACTAAGCTTTGTTCTCTTCGGAAGAATGGGAGCTTGAAATTACTCTTCAAAGAGTGATCTCGTCCCGGTCGTCCCGTGAGAGGCAAAGGCAAAGGTCACGTTCGAGGAGACCACAACACTCCGTGTCAGGTCAGCCAGCCTATGACTTCATGCCAGTCTCTTCCAAACACAAGTCTTTGAGAAGTACTGTACTTCTTTTGCACTTCACAAGCCGTTGGTCTAGCCAACTCCCCACATGAGGGAGCGGGATGCAGAGGTAACCTCACCCACCGGGTTGGACACACATCTCAAGTAGGACTGCACAACACTAGCAAGCCCACAACAAAGAGCCCGGGGTATTCTTTCAGCTTGGTGGTACACCAGCCACGGAGCCACCAGCTTGATTTTTTTCACTTGGGAAATTCTTGGGGAGCTCATTGATGATTCGTGCATCACGCAAAGTCTCACGCACATGCGGAGGCGGATGAACGACAAGAAGGGTAACTGTTTTCGGGAGTTGCGCCCCGTAGTACCCAACCTCCACACCTTGGATGGGGGACAAGAGCACTAGAATCGGAATAATATGGAGGCCGCATTGGGTCTTTTTTTTGTTGGGGTGTTCCAATATGAACAGGGCTCCATGGATGAGTGAGATAAGATACTCGCCAGCTTGATCGTGATCAGAGCAGTAGATTGTCAGTCATCACCTGTCCAATCTCGCGATATTGCAAGGACAGTAGCCCCTTAAGGTGCTCCTCGGTACGAAGTATCTGCGGGCCGCCATTGACCACCACATGCATTCTTGCCCTGGACCAAGATTCGCATGGGGGCTGGCACACGGGCAACCAGGATCCTTGCAGCGATTGCAGCTCTGAACTTCGAAAAGACTTCTTGTCCTCCCAAGTTTCCAAGGGTCTCGCTGAATACTATGTCGACGCTGAGGACCTTTAAGTCATGTCCACAGAGCGTCAGGCGTTCCAGCATGTCTTGTAAATCTTCTTCTTCTTCTTCTCCCTGAAAATAATGAGCCAGCATCACCGGTCCATAACCAAGAGGCTTCACAAGGCTGGTCACCTTCAGAGTGCTTTGCATCACTTCTTCCGCTTTTCGCCCATGGCTGATCAATATCTTTCTTGGGGAAAGAACCACCTAAAATAGCTTTCCCAAGAACGAGGAACAACGCTCTGTCAGATCGAAATGGTCACAAACAGCAGAAGATTCTTTCACAAGGCATATTTGGAAAATTCATTCATGGATCTCAGTGGAGTGTTCTTCGTGGCTCCCTGAAGTCACTCCAAACCTGCTTCCATGTCGACCGTGAAAAGAGGTGCTCTAACTTGCTACCAGGGCATTACTACTAGTAACCAGTAGCAAGAAGCTACTAGTAGCAAGGTGAATCGCTACCAGTATCAAGGACGCTACTAGTAGCTAAGTGCCTCTCTTACTCGCTCCTGTTCTTGCCAAAGTTGCCTCTTTGCATCCGTCATGAGTGCCTCAAAAGGGTGTGCCGTCGGTGGTAAGATGGGCCATTCACCAGCGAGTGGGGGACGATGGAGCATAGTAGGATTGGTCATCTCTGCCCTACTGTTCAGGCCAGGTTGTACCTCGACTTCCGCACCCCAATTGCGCCAAATACCCAAACATGAAGAACTGTTGGTGAGGTGGTGCACCAAGGCCCATATTAGAAATATGTGTCTTTTTATTCCAACCGATGGGTAAGTTGGACTTGTCACTCACCATGCTTGTTCTCTTCAGGCTGAAAGAATGGAACTTGCCGGCCCTCTTCAAAAACTGGAGGGCCAAAAGGTTGGCAACCTCTATGCCCATCTTCTTGGACCGGTGAGAGCACAAAGGGGCGTTCTTGGAGGCCACGGAGTGTCAGGTCAGCTGCTATGACTTCATGCCAGTCTCTTCCAAACAAAAGGTTTTGACAAGTAAAAGTCTCCCGCATCAGCTGCAGAATTACATGACTTGCAGAGTCACTCCACAGTACTCTCCATGCCGAGCACGTGGCTTCCAGCCGCTTTAGATGCTGAAGAAACGCGGATGTTAGATGCTTCGGAAGGAATCCAACAGCACGAGAGTGGTCCCCTAAACAGGTTTACATGGGGCCCCAATCATTTTTCAGCATTGCGCAGTACTCCTAAGCATTCTAATTCGAGGCCCCCACATGTTCTCAATTCCAAGATGATCAGGTGACATGAGGTGAACTCCTGGAATTCCATAGTTTTGTTGGGTGAATCTGTAGAGTGACAGCTGTGGGATTCTCTCCGTTTGCGGTTTCCGCGGTGGGATTCCGTCGGTGCACGGTGCGTCCGTGGCCCGAACGATGGTCAACAATTGTCGACGGAAAAACGAAGGCAGCGGACTTCGGGCTGGGGAGGGCCGGTCGCCAGCAGCGACCAGGAAACATACAAGTAAAGAGAAGAGAAGCAGAGAGAGAGAGAGAGATAAAGCCGATAACGCCGAGAAAGCAAAAAAGAAGGGTGTTTGGGCCCCTTTCAAGGGGCAAGCGTCGTTTATGTCCCTCTCTTGTTCTCCTTTCGTTTTGCAGATGCGAGGATTTTTTGTTGCAGGCCACCCTCTAGCGCACGATTGTTGTGCGCAGTTCCTTAATGCAAGACAACCAGACAATTCAGCCCATTTTCATGGGACTCATGTGTGTTTCATGTGAAACACATGTCATGTAATATAGGCGTTTTTTGACGTGACTGGGCGACCCAACGGTCATGTTCGACCATGGGCGACTGAGGCGGCACAGACCATCGTCTTTGCAGAGCTCTATTGGGTGCGGCGAACCGCGGCGAACCGCACGGCGGGACATGGTTTTTGAGTGGCACCGGGACACCGGTTTTTGGGATGGTTTAAATGAATAATGAATGCCAGGAAGGTCTCCAATCAAATCGAATCGGTCTCCAAGCCATTTCTATCAGACATCATCCACTTCTTGTTGCTTCATTAGGGTGACTACACAGCCATGGATGGTGATAGTCCCATGGAAATGCTCTGGGGTGGTCACCCGATGTGAACTGAACAGCTGACGCTTTATGGCCTCTAGAAGGTCCATCTAAAGGAACCATTGCCAAATAATGCCAGATACATCAATTACATCAACATCAATGTTCTTTGTCTCCCCAAACACTGAGGAACTCCTCATCTAGGGTGCCCCATACATTGTTTATCATTGTTTTAAGGTTGCACCATTTTACAGGGGTTTAGCTGTCTACCCAAAGGCATCTTGTGCTTAAGGCCATGACGTCGCCTACGTTGAAGCATCCCACACCAAATATGTAATTTGAGTCGATCGTATGTTGATAGATGTCATCTTGGGTGTTGAGAAACCCTGTATACGCACAAATGTTTGAAGCTTTTGATCCAAATTCAATCAACTTGTCTCAGTCAAAATTTTGTACTTGCGGCTCTGAAGTCAAGCAAGTGCTTTCATGGATCCATCACAACACATAAGCAAGTACTAGCTCTCTGCACCACCAACGAACACGATCTCGCCTGGGGGGTGAAATGGTAGAACGGCCAAACCATCCACTGCATACCAAGCAAAGCCATGAAAGCGACCAACACAACCATCTCATGCCATCTCACTTCATGAATGGTAGAATGATCAACATTTGTGACCAACCATAGGCATTGACGCCAACACCCATCCCATCCCATCCCCATCCAAAACATGTCGTGTTCACAAAACACATCCGCGGCATGAGGTGCCCGGACAGATGCAGCAGGCGGAGGATCGCGCGCACCGCATCGGCCAGAAGGACTGTGTGACGGTGGGGCACCCCGAAAGGCGCTTGTGCGGACGCGGAGAGGGAGTCTAATGCTTACTAGTAGCACATGGGCTACTAATAGCGATGCACTTCTTCCTAGTAGCTTCTTGTTTCTGGTTTCTAGTAGTAATGGGCCTCCCCCAATAGCGATGGCCTCCAACCTAGTAGCTTCTTCTAATGGCTCAATCCCCCAACAGTGTTCAACAATGGCTTGCCCTGGGTCCAAAACACCTCAAAAAGCACTATATCGCAGCCCATAGATGAGTAGTCTTGCAGTTGTCAATTCTTGAGATACCAAATCAATAGATACATCATGGGGAGGGTTTGATTGTTCGACCCAACAACTTGCTGCAGCTGTGCTAGTCCCCAGCCACTTGAAGGTGCATTACTTGATCGCGAAGAAGACCTTGGACGAAGTCCTGTTCAAGTCACTGGAGAGAAAGACCTTCAGCCTCAGCCCTCAGTGGCCCTCAGGTTATAGGAGATTCATGAGATTCACGGGATATTCCGTTCTGTGAAATGGCTGCTGGTGGCTTCTACTGTTTTCTTTTGTTTTTCTTTCTGCACTTACACCAGGTGTGAATGAAAGAACATGCTCTCAGATGGGTACTTTGCAGACCCAGGGAAATCGGTCACACTCCCAGAATTGTCAGGTGGAAATCTACTCGGAACTCGGTTTTGCTGTCAGAGAACATTTGGCATTGATGTCAGAGACGTTGACCACCATTGGACGGAGCGGAGGCAAAACTGCTGGAATCATCAATCCGCCCATTCACAGCTTCATAGTTTGAAGTTTCAGGTTGAACTATAGGTGGACTTGAGAAGATGATGGTCCATCGGTTGTCCATGGAAAGTTCGGAATGACCAATCAACTTGATGCGACCCGACGGACCTGGCCTTGCCTGGGCGGAGCGCCAAGACACCACGAGCATTCTCAACGGCCAAAGTTGCGGCTTGGATGTATCGCCCGGCGCTCCAGCGGGCAGCAGCGATGTGGTTTGAAGCGACATATTATGGAGAACCAGGGACTATGGATGATGAAAACTTAAGCCAGCCTTACATGTTCTGTCTAATGGCGGTTGTATTGGATGATTTCACGCAACAGTCTGTTGGAGCGTGATTTCAACGACATTGGGAGCTCCTGAGGACACCTCATCGAGAAAGATAATTGAGGTCCCCTTTTCGCCTGATACCTTCTCCAACTACTGCATTGGGTTCCACTGCGTTCCATGGATTGAGTTTGTTTGATCCACTTGTTTCAGATTGGGTCGACACCCTGTTGACTCCTAACACCCGTTTCAGACGGTGTCACGCCCGGGTCCGCCCGGGTCCGGAAGTCACGGAATCGATGCTCCGAGGTGCGAAACGACGGACGCGCAGCGCAGCCAGCGCAGCAGACCTCAGGGGCTGAGGGGGGTAGGGTGGGGGTTCAGATTTGGGTGTTCAGGGCTCCTGATCCACTTCACCGAAGAAAAGGCCAGCTGAAGATGACTCGATGATTCACATGGCACTTCACCTGACCGAGCTCTACAGAGACCCAGCTTTTCCAGGTTCGGTTTTCTGCAAGGTGAGATCCTGGAAAAGGGTTGATTCTTTGCGAGGTTATGGGACTTAGACTGTTGAGTTCTTGAACCCAGAAGTCTTGGACTAAGTGGTTGGACTTCGCGTGCGAAAAGGGAGCCAACTTAAGGAACCAAACCTTGTGGCCAAGATCCACACCCACGGTGATGTGGAGGGGATGCGCTTCCCCTTGGGGGTATCGTGAAACGCACTTTGCTAAGTGCTTGAGAAGCAATATGACTGTAGCATCTGAGGAGCTAAATCAAAGCCTTTGGACTGGTCTTCAAGCTTTTGTACCGTGAGGACACGTGAGTAACATAGACCAACATTTTTCACTGGTGCTTGGGGATGTCATTAAGCAGGCCATGCCATTGTGATATCCTCTTCCACCACTACCGTTCAGATGGACATCGCATCACACAGTGGGACATCACAGACGAGACTGAGAGAGTCCCAGTGCATCACTCATAAAGGATGACATTTTTTTGAACACCGGAGTGGTACCGTGCTTTGTTTCACACATGGGACGGTGCCCATGATAGAGGAAGTTGAAGAAGTATTCCCTAGTCAGGAATGATGACTTTCTTTTAGCAGCCTTTAGCAGTTTGTTCGTCTGTGGATGGGTTATATAATGGGTGCCACCAGATGCGTTTTCCCGCAAGCCACCACTCAGGCTTGCCAACGGAGACGGAGGAGAAGGAGGGGCCAGAGTAGAAAACAGAAAGCAAGGAAAGATAATTTTTGATGGAGAACAGATAGCAAAAGCAGAAGCACCGCAAGTATGTTGATGACCGGTTTCTTTTTTGCCAGGAATCTCCTGTGTAGTTTCCATTTGGAGACATGCCCCACCTCTCCGGCCAGATTGCCGATAGTCAGAGCTTCACCAAACACATGAGATTTGCTCTTTTGTGATGGACTTCATGCAACGACTCCTTCCCGACCTTTTTTCAGAACGGAACGGTGCGGCACAGTCCTGCTGGGCCACCCTTCTCAGGAGCCGCCGACGAAGCGTCCTCGGGTTGAGTGAGGGCGTGACGGGGGCGAGGAGTTCTCCTCAGGGCGTGGTGATGGGAGAAGATGAAGTCATGGTGCACCAGGCCCAAGTGGATGTGATGTCAAAGTTCGGATGTCCGTTGTTTTTCCCACAGGGAAGATTCAAGTAGGAGTTCGAGATGGGACGGATTTGGGCATGGTCCCTTGGCCAAGCTTGCCGATGCCTTCCATACAAAGATTCCATTGCCCAGCTTGTGGGTGGCTCTCACGAATGATGCAGAGTAAGCCCTGACTTGAACCAACAGAGAACAGGGAAAGCAGGCAACTTGCATCTGGAAAACGCGACGCACTTTTTGGGGCCAACAGGGACCAATTTAATCTTTCCGGCACATGGCCTTTTGCAGGACAGCATGACATCATGAGCACGGTCAGATTTATCTCCAGTGATTCCTATGACCCCCAAAACCAGTTCTTCGTCCAGGTCTTTGGCCCAGACCTAGGGGTGAACGGTCCTGTGGCGCTCCCATCGAGGGTCCTGTGGGTGGACGCTTGGTTTCTGGCCCGGCCGGACCTGCAGTGCTCAGATGAAAAAGCCTCGGAATGGATGTGGAAGATGTCCTATGCAGAAAGTGATCATTTTTTTAACGATGCTCCCGAACATGTTCTTTTGGAACCCATAGCCTAGATGCTGCTCGACCAACTTGATGACATCGAGTTTGGGAAGCTCATTCAGTCCGAATTGCAACCGACACTGTGGAGCTATGGCATCAACGGATCTCTTGGGTACACTCTGTGGAACTAACATGGATCTGGAAGATGGTCCCGTGAAAAAACATTTTCCTCTGCAAACATGTTTTTTTTCCACTTCCATGTCATGTTAGAAACAGGGAGAGTACATTGCTACTAGTAGCAAGAAGCTAGTAGGTTGGCTGTTCATTTTGGAGAGAATCGCAGCGAAACAGCAGGTCTCGGCCGGGAGAAGTTGTTCGTGTCTCGCAGCGAGGTGGGTCGAAGGGTGGTTAAAACATAGACAACTGGGTCGTGTGCCTCAGAAACATGAAGCCCCCCAGTTGGGCCTGACCAAAAAGGAAAAGATCATGGCCCTCCAAAGCACTGAACCGAAGGAGTCTCAGTTTTCAGCAATCAGTCACCACTCAACTGTTGATCCACGACCGAAGCCAATGTTTGCGCCCCTGGGGCGTACCGACACATAGACGCTCTGGGCGCAACAGCGTGCACTGGGCGCTGAAAAAAGAGGGCCTGGTTTGGCTTGGTGGATTGGAAAGTCCGAGACCTCCCAGGCAGACCCCAAGACCAAGAAAGGGAGGATTCAAACTATCTTGGAAATGCAGGGAAACACAATATGGATGAGACGGAGCATGAGACATCGGGCCTTCTGCGTTGAAAGTGACCGCGTTTGGATCAGAGCTATGACACGGCTAGCCATGTCTCTAAGCACCAGTAATTGGCTTTCGGAGGTTTCTGGCCAAAACTAATACAGTATACGGATACTGTGCCTTCTTTTTTTCCTTGTGCAACTTGTCCTTTTTCCACAGTTGTGGGCTCGTGGTAGTTCCAATGCCCGCTGGGTGGTAGGCTTACGTAATGAATGGCTGCATGCGATCTCATGCTAGCACCCAACTTCAATCCACCGTTCTGAACCACGGTTCCCCGCTTGCTTTTTCGATGGACGTGCGGCAAGATGGCCTGTTGACATGCTGGTTGTGCTAGCTTGCACATGCACCGACCCACACTCTAGATCGGGACACTCCACCTATCAGGTAATGGTCAATGAGAAAGGCAGCAGTATCTACTTGCAATTTTCACACTTGTATTGACCCATGGCGGATGATGAGGTGGGTTTACATGCGGAGAGAAACATGGAGGGGGTTGAGAACATGGTCTGACAGTGTTGCGGGGAAGCCTCCCATGTGCTTCGGAGTTGAGAAAACGAGGACGAAACCGAATGTATTTTGCCAAACACCCTCTTCTGGTAAGTCAGTTCGTTGCACCACCCACCCTGGTTTCTTGGGTTGCTGACAACTGGACCTCAGCAGGATGTTGGTCTGAATAAAATGCACATACGTAAGAAGACAATCTTGCAGTTTCAATAGACAGATATGCAAGTCCATGCTCTTGTGCAATAGACATTTGTATTGCTTCTGCATGTTGAAACCAGCTCAGATATTTTGTTGTGCATGGTATATAGTCTTGATGCTGCCAGCGGCATAGCATGGTAGTCTCTATCCAGAGTTACCGAGATACCTGTTGTAGAAAGACAGAGGTTCAGTTGAGAGCTGATGCCGCAATAATGGACTCTATCACTATGACTGTGTGAGCATCCGAACAAAGCGACGATGGAAGTGGTCACAGGGTGGACACACGGTAGGACACCTACATGAAACCGCATAACCGATGGGGGCTTACCCGTTCTAGGCTATGTCCTTAGGCTAGATCCAAGATTTCATCTGGCACTCACATAGTTCTTGGAGGAAAGCACAGGATTGCCAGTGCAGTTGTAGACTTGGTGCGTCGTCATTCGCATGGGCAGTCCACAGGTTTTGGCCTCTACCAAGTGACCAAGTGTGTGGATGACCTGTCAGCCATGCCCTAATTAACCTGAGCAGCACATGGAAACGGTTCCGAGTCAGTGAGAGGCTAGAGCAGCTCGGGAGGCGGCTTAAGCAGCCTGGAGGGGACACTTGTGCAACCCCCACTGAGGACACTAAGATTGTAACTCTTGAGAACAACAGTTCCCTGATCTCACTGGCCTTCCCCTGATTTCTGATTGTTGCAACAGTCTTTCAGCATCAAAAAGTACTAGAACTGCAGAAACTCGTGGTGTTTCTGACATTTTCTGCAATGTGCGACCTCCTGACCGACTCCAGGTGGTCACCCTTGCGGGGGTGGGATCGCTCCTGTCAGAGGCCTGGATCATCTCTGGTAACAAACGAACTGGGTAAAAGATCGGCCACACATCGTCAACAAGCCTGGGCCAATGCTATGGTATAGAAAGAAAGACATCAGAGGTGTGGGTCAATACAAACACAACTGAAGACTGTGGCAAGTGAACTGAAGCCTAGCCTAGACGGTCCCGAAAGACTAGAGAACCGTCCTTGGGGGGGTTCGCATAAGATGTTGGCTGGATAAAAAAAGAAGAATGGATCAGGCAAAGTTTGAGTGGCCAGTGGCCAATGTCCTTCTCCATGGGCAAATTTGGCTCAATTTTGAGGGATCGTACCTTTGTCTAAGCTGCCCCGAGCCGGTGCCCTGTCGGGTTGCTCCAAAGGTTTCAGCAGTCCGGTCGGCCCGATCATCCGAAACTCGGCCTAGGCCTCTGCAAGGGAATCCTTTGAGTTCTCCAACTTTCGGATTGGGCAGGTGGGGCCATCATCTGGTGGTGTGAGGTGAGGTTGCAGACTTTTTGGCGGGGAATTGGTTGATCTGGGAGCGGCGTTTGGTGACATAAGGTGCTAACCTTGGACGGAGATCGGTTTTGTCAGATAGAAGTCTGGGCAGCTACCGGGGTACAAGTGGAAAGATGATGAAATGGAAGTGGGAAAATTGTGTTTTGGGGGTGGAGAAAGGCGATCAGACTTGTGGCCCACGAGAACAAGAAGTTGTATACAGAATGAAGAAGAACCTCAGCCAGCAGCAGCTGGTTAGTGGGATTGGCGCGGAAGGGATTATGGGTTGTTGGTGTGAGGTCACTGGAATCGTTGCTTCTGCGGGAGTTTAGCCAGGTGAGGGTTGTTAGATTTTATCAAAGTTGCTTCCGCATCCTCCCTCTCCTTCTCCTCCTCCTCTGCCTCCTCCTTCCAGCTCCAGAGCTTGCAAATCGCAGTGGGCACCTCCTCGCCCGAACTGCAAGAATTTAGATGCGAAATAGAATGTCGCAGTAGATGCCCAATAGAATGTTACAATGCATGCCAAATAGAATGTCAGAACAGATGCCAGATCACATGTCACCATATATGCCAGAATATATGTCAACACTTATGTCAGATAATTTGCCAGAAAGAATGTCAGAAGGTGTATGCCACGTAGAATGTCAGAAATGATGATAGAATATAGAAGAGTGTGGGTCACCACTAGAGTGGCCCTTGTTTCCCGCTTAAATAGTTTCGGATGATCCCCATCACTGCATCAACACAACGCCTTGACATGCCACGGGGGGATCATTCGCAGGTAAGGTAGCTTTGGCCATCTTTCCGGGATACATTTTCCGCGTCCCCCTCAATCAAGAAGCTTGCTGCCGCTTGTCCAACACACAGAGTTGATCCTCCAATGACGTCGCCTGTCGTGACGTCGTTGGACGCGAACCATCATTGAGCACGCGTCAATCTGACGCTGAATCCCATGAACTGCGTGACATGGTTGAACGGAGCGTCCATGACACAGACGCTCAATGAAACAGCGTTGACCAAACTCAGGCACCCAGCGACAGCCGTTTTTTCGCCATTTACGAACTCGAGGTTCGTGGCTATCAGCGATGCTTCTGCCAAGCCAACTGGGTCAACCTGGTGCGGGGACGCCTGGCAAATCTCAGTGGCCTGCAGAACAGAGTGGTAGGATGATGGTCATTGCACTTCATTGGGCCATTGGACGCTACGAATGGGGCTGCTGGCCTTGCTACTAGGAGCAAGGACGCTATCAGGCCATTGGGATCCATTGGGCCATTGGAGTAGAGGCCGAGGCCTAGTTTTTTATAGTTTTTTGGTCATTGCAGTAAGGTATTGTATCTTGAAGATAGTGGATGGAAGTGGAAACTGACCCCCTTGGAGTAGAGCCTCGTTTCTTTACGGTTTGTTCCGCCCCAGTTTGGTTTGTTTTTTCATAGCATCGTGGGCACAGGTGAGAGCGAGTCTTTGTGGATTGACCAGGTTCACCGACCCTAAAATCCTAATGTAATATACGGTAATATCCGATATGTTTTGTTCTTTCCGATGCAACGCATCGCTTGACGTTCACTCGGCGCGCCCAAAGGTTATGAGAAGCATGGTTAGCTTCGTGATTAACACTTGGTTGTCTTTCTCGTTCACTCCAAATCGGATTCCCCGAAACCGGGGTGTGTCACAGGTGCGGTGCAGGCCGGCTGTCCAGCAACGAAGTGGCTGCACTGGCCATGGTGGCTTGGTGGAGAAGGGTCCAGATCTCATGTTGAAGATGGTGGTTTCATGTTCTGGAAGAACGCAGGTGGGTGGAGGAATTATCAAGTGAAGATGCAAAAGGAATGGTTGGTGCCAGTTGTTCTTGGTCGAGGAGTTTAGTTTTATTTAACAGACCTTGGGACGCAGCACTTTGTACTGTATATCTATAAACTCCATGGCAGGCCACAGTCCCCTCCTCCCTGCAGTTTTCAGCGGGGTGCACGAGGTGATATTGTTTGAAAACTGATAATTTCTTGAAAACAGCAAGGACGTCTTGTTTGACACACATGCAGATGTGGGTCAGATCCTTCTTTTGCAACACGATTCCTAGCCACTTCATCACTCTCCCCGAAATGATGAGCCCCTCGCTCACGGGTCTGGTGCTGCCGATGATACTTTCAGTGCATCCTGTTCCAAAACCAAGCGCTCAAGTCAACATCTGAGCAGAGGGTCCAGCTGCGGAGAGCCGGAGAGCCGTGTTTAGGGGTTCCCAGCTGCTGGAGGTCCCCAGCGACCCAGACTTTGTGAGCTCGAGGGCCCAGACATGGAGGCGGAGGTTTGTGCAGCCTGTGGTGCAGAAGTTTTCCAAAAGAAGTGTTAAGTGTTCTATCATGTTCTATCGTTTTCTATCTTTTTTTTTCCTGTTTGTGTGTGTGTTTGTTTAATTGTCTATCAATCAATAAGTCAGTCAGTTCAGTTCAGTTCAGTTCAGTAGCCAACACACCCTGCCCTTAGACCGCTTGAAGAGACAGATAATTACATATTTGGACAATAATACTACAAAATAGTATAACATAATATAATACAAAAGAAACCTCCACCTGTTCAGGAGATACTTTCCAGATATCCCAGCTACTTGTGCTCCAAAGACTTGTCGACTTGTCCGTTGCAACTGTTTGGGCTCAAAAGAGCAGGAAACCCAGCGACTTGGCGCCGTGACCGGTCTTCGACATCTTCGACCCGCTTCGACTTCGTCATGCTCGACCTCATCACCATCTTCTCCGCCGCCGGCCTCCAGCAGGAGCTCAAGGCAGTGAATGGGGACAAAAGCTTGGTGATCCACGAGGCGTGAGCACCATGTGAGCGGAAGGGATCCAGAGGGAGTGGAGTGGGATCTAAGAAAAGATCAGAAACAGAATGGAGAAGATAACCAAGTTAACCAAGAGTTTCATAGATCGGCCAGTCTTGCAATCCTTACTATCCTCTAGGTCAAAGAGGCAAGAAACGACCAAGTGTGTCCAAGTGCTGCACATGTCTTTGTTGATCAATAGACATCATCTTCTGCTCCTCTCTTAAAGATCCTTAGGGGTCCATGGCACGTCTGCCACGCGTCTGTCGCCCGCGCCACGGCAGGACGTCGACTCAGAGGAACCCAGCTTTCTGGAGTCTGCGGCCACACAGGTCTCAGTGGCCTTGGAGGCGGTCGATGGCGTCGGACGCCCCCAGCGGCGCCAGCGGCGGACGCACCGGAAACAGAAGGGGGTGGGAGGGTGGAAGGACTGGGAAGAGGGAGTAGTTGGGAGGAGTGAAGTCTTTTTCATTCCTTTTCCATGCTAGCATCATAAGTTATGACTGTCCAGAATAGACTAAGCGGATGCACCATGTCCAGCGATGGGGAGTTCTCTCCTTTTGATGCACCTTCATTTATGTGGGGAAATGCTGAGGATGAAGTGATGGGAATGTTGAGGGCGAAAAACAAACAGAAGAAATGGGTTGGCGTGGCTTGTACAAACAAAGTAAAAACTAGGGAAAAGTAGGGATTCTCAGCTTGGTGTAGGTCACTGTCGTGATGTTCTTGGTCCAATTCTCCTGGGTGGTGCGTTGTGGTTGTTGAGTCTCTAAGTCTACAAGATCATGGGGATCGGATGTAGAGAAAGCCGATTGTAGACCAGCAGAGCGCTGAAGTCCCAGAGAAGAGGGATTTCTCTTGTCAGTTGTTGGCTGAATGTACAATGTCTCACCCTTATTGAAAACGAGGGACAAAGGGGCTCAACCAGTCGTACTGGACACGCTCTTTGCCCAGCGCTGAGGCCATGTCACAAGGTTTGGAGGCCATCTTTGGGAAGGAGGACTGGTTTGCTGCTGTAAATGACCAGTCATATGAGAGGGACCACGAAAGGATAATTCTGGAGGATGATTTAGCATGATTTAGCATTATATATTGTATGACTGCGATGGCCTCCACCCTACTAGCGATGGCCTTCAACCTAAGAGCGATAGTCAGATTCACTATTTCACATCCTCTCCCTCTTCTGCCGCTCACCCAGGAGGTGCCCAGTGCACCCAAGAAGGTGGACTGAGCGCACGCCATCCCCGGTCCCCCCGGTCCCCCGGTCGCGCCGCAGCACGTGGTGGCCGGCTCGGGCCTCGTGGCCCTGCGTATCAACACTTGATGTCATTTGATACGCCCGGTGGAAGATCTGGTGGATGAACTCGTGTCCAAAAAGTGGGATCCAGGATGATCCAGGGTTTGTCAATGTTTTTTCTACCTGGTCAATCACGTGCATGTTGGCAGATTTGGAACGTGTGGATTCTGCATCCGCCTCTTCCGCCGTGATCCTTTGCTCACCTTTGAAGAAGCCTTTTGGGGCGATGAATTCTGTGACCTGAGATCAGCGACCTCGACAGCGCTGCAAAGCCCAAAAAGGGGCGACCTTCCGTTCTCACGGACTTGGATGATTCTCAGCAAGGATACACTCGTTCAGACTCATTAACCTTTTCATCAAATGATGTGACATGGAAGAATGTATCCTAGAGAGGATAGGACAATTACGAGAGCTTACACACAGTTTTGGCTGGTACAAGAGAGGTGCCGAGACCTGTAACTATATGTCTCGCAGCTGCTTGAGCTGGGTCGCGACCGGTACGTCGGTGTTTGTCAGTGAAGACCATGGAGACCTGCTGCTCCGCCTTCTTGTGGAAGGCCAAAAAATCTGTGGAGGAAGGCCATTTGGGCCCCGTGGGATGGGGTGTTGCATCCAGTAGGCACAGTAGGTTGAGCAACACACATCAAGATCATCAAGATCAAAGGCTTGTCATGTTATGATCTGCCAAAACATCCGAAATGCTGGACGACAGCGGCACCTTCGCTTCAACCAACCAGTTTGGGATGGTGATCCCAGAGCTCCCAAACGCGGGCCGTTGGTCCGTTGGTCGAGCTTGCCGCGAGGCGCGACGACGCGCCCGGTGCGCACTTCGGCAGATGGGCCGCTCCCACCCAGGGATGCGCTGAGGCTGCTCAAAGAAGGCCAGGGCGCTGGTGCTGGGTGGTGCTGGGTATGGACAGTGCGGACGGTGGCATCGGGTTGCGTGGTGGAGAACATGGAGGAAACGCCACCTTTTTTGTGAGTCGTAGTTCCTGGTGTGCCGCCTGTTCAAGTGTCTGTTCAGCATGTTAAATGGCCATCTAGAAGCATCAATTTAATTCAATTTAGAATTGTAGCTATAGAGCTGTTGTTGCGTATTGTAGTGACCAAGATGCGCGTAGAGTTTATCTGTACCCTTTGTCACAGTTCGTGGAACCTGTGGCTTCCAAAAGAAGTGCCTGTAGAAGTCGGTCGTGTTCCACTTCCATGTATGCAGTGAATCTTTCATGTCATGCCCAACATTGTCCACTTGCACCGAGTGGACTTAAAATCTAGGCCAATTTGGAACCTGTGAACTTGTCTCATGAGTTGTGGAGCCGATGTCGTTTCGAGCCATGCTTAGCTCTTAACTCCCTTGTTCCCTCCCAAAAGTAAGCATTCGCAAGTCTTGACTTTATTTTACTGTTCTATTTTTGTAACGAACAAAGAGCACAAGCACATACAAGTTGTTCAAGTTGTGCCAGATCAGCTACCGTGGAGAAAGTTCCGAAGGATGTTTTGAGACACTTAACTACAGTACAGGTTCTCTCCCGTCAGCTCTAAGCCATCATCCGACAAGGAGAAACGCAGTTATCAGTTGGTAGCTTGAACTGCCTAGAATGGACTATTAGTTACTAGTCCTGTACAGAACACCATAATGACTCGTCATCCTGCCTCCATATTATCCATATATGTAGGACAATGAACTACAGTACATCACAGCCAAAAGCAAACACCCGTCCCCACAAAAGAACATGTCACCTCACTCATGTTTGGCCACAGACTCTGTGTTGTGATTGGTGGAAGAACTCTCAACGACACCAGGCAACATGCGCTTCGTCAAAGGGACCAACCTGGGCTCTTGCACCAATGACCAGCTCCGAAAGCAGTTAGCAGAACAAGGCCTATGCTGATGGGCCAATCTGGACGGAGGAAGGTGCAGGGTTTGGTGAAGGACTTTCGATTAAACGATTAAACAGCCCAAAAACTGAAGTTGATGTGGTACATCATTGTATTCGGACCTACAACCCAAACCACTCCTTTGTAGGGAACGCCGATTCCTTGAAGCTGAGGGATTTGGGGAGGTATCACCGTCAAGTTGGGGGATCTCTCGGCTCAGGATTTCCGAAGGTTTTGGACTCGTTTGTGGTTTGCAGGTCAAAGACGAAGCCAAATAGGCTTCCGGCCTACTGGCGATGGCCTCCAACCTATTAGCGATGGCCTCCAACAGACTGACGATGGCCAACCTATAGAGGATTCCAGGAATTGATCGTTTCAAACTTTCCAAAGCAACATTATCTCAGAGATCATTTGAGGATTCTTCACATGTCTGTCGATTCACGTGGGCCCTCTCAGTGCTTCTTCCTCAACATCAGTTTGAATTTTATGGGAGGTCAAGCTCCCCACACGGCCATCATTGGCTGTGCAGATTCCAGAGCACCTCTGGAGATACCTGGCAAAACCGATGTCAGAGCTGCCGATGCTTTTTGTGGCTCATTTAGTTTGAATCAGAGAGGTTGGCTAACTAATCCCTTTACCTTGATTGAATGATGATAGTCTAGTTATATAGATGATCCCTCTGAAGCTATCCTGGGATTAAGAACAAGAGATCATTGATCATCATTGATCTGATCTGACTTCAAGGAATCAACGCTCCACTCCGCCACTCCCCATATATCATCACACACACACACACGCTCCCCACCTGCCCAGTTGTTGAAAAGACCTCAGGACAGTCTTTGATGCCATGCCTGGTGACCTCTTCGTGCTCCGGAACGCGGGGAACACTTGTAGCCCGGCAGCAGTTCTTTCTCAAAATTCCTCGGAGGGCCGGAGGGATATGTTCATCTTTTTTTGTGCAAGATGACCTGATGGGAAACTGAAGAAAACGATGGAACAACCGAACAACCCATTCATCATCCTGATCATCCCAACCCCACAACCATGTCCACATGTTCCACTGACAACATTTAGGGAAGCCCTTTCCCCTTTTTTCCTTGGGTTAAGATCAAAAGACAGGTGCACATTCCTGGATTCAACATCTGGAACAGTGTCTTTTAGACAAAGAGATCAAGCATTCCTCCATTCCCTCCCCCGAAAGGCATAATAACGGCGACACAATCGAGAAATCTAGTTGTTTTTTTCTTTTAACTAACATGTGACCAGTAGAATAGCCTGCGAGAG